ATAAAAGTGTGTGGTTATGTGGATGTTGTGGTCATCAGCAGTAATATAAAGGTGTGTGGTTATGTGAATGTTCCATATTTACAAATTTAGATATGTTTAAAAGAAGCTCTCTTTATAGAGAAAAGGTGAAAAAGTGCTTGATGAAAATTTGATACGTTTGTCCCATAGTTTATATAGAAATAAGATACTTCAGTTACAGTTTATTCATTTCCTCAAGAATTTGACTGGTATCACAACCATGAGGTGACAGTTTGTTACAGGGACACACCCCTAATGGTCAATGAGCAGGGTCAAAGAGGGGTCACCTTAGCTAAAATTTTGACATTGTTTTTGTACTGATCTTGTTGTTGTTTATTGCTGTACCTGATTATCATGTATTGTTTGTGATGTCAGGATAAACAAACATTCAGGTATCTTCATCAGAAACATCAGGTGACCCTGGGATTCTGGTATAGTATATCAGACTCTAGCAGTTCTCTATCCTGGTGCTAGGGCCTAAGGGACAGAGCCATATTCACAATCTTCTTCTTCAGAACTGCATCACTTAAGTAAAATGGAAATCTTGATCTGCATAAATGAAAGGGTTGTATTATGTACTTAATTATTATCTATAGATAACACTTTCAGCAATATTTTGTTTATTTTCCTTTAAAAAAAAAAACAACAAAAAAACAATTAATCAGAATTGTAAGGAAGGAATAGCCAATTGATAGAGCCTGCAACTTTAAGGGGCAGGACATGTTTTTAGTGATAATCTTACTGATGAATTCCTAATTAAATCACATCGACTCATTACTTCTAAAGGATTATTTAATGATTATTGTTAATACTTTAAGGACTAGTCCCTGTGTTATTGTTACTGTAAAACAAATTATGAATGTGTGAAAAATGCATAATCATTACAACACAAAACAACATGATCTGTGTTTTCAGAGTGGATATTTTCTTGATAAAAATATAATTGATTGTTATTGGTGCATTGGAATGAATTTTTAACATTGTTTTCAGAAATAAATATTATAAATAATGAAAAGGTGTAAGAGTTGCCTCCCTTGTAACAGTTAACATACAGTATACTTGCTGTAGCCTGGAAGATTTGGGGGACTGTCACTACACACAATACTATCACCTATTGTAACATAGAAGATCTGAAGACTGTCACTACACACAATACTATCACCTATTGTAACATAGACGATCTGAGGGACTGTCACTACACACAATACTATCACCTATTGTAACAGACTGAGGGACTGTCACTACACACAATACTATCACCTATTGTAACATAGAAGATCTGAGGGACTGTCACTACACACAATACTATCACCTATTGTAACATAGACGATCTGAGGGACTGTCACTACACACAATACTATCACCTATTGTAACATAGAAGATCTGAGGGACTGTCACTACACACAATACTATCACCTATTGTAACATATAGATCTGAGGGACTGTCACTACACACAATACTATCACCTATTGTAGGGATCTGAGGGACTGTCACTACACACAATACTATCACCTATTGTAACATAGACGATCTGAGGGACTGTCACTACACACAATACTATCACCTATTGTAACATAGAAGATCTGAGGGACTGTCACTACACACAATACTATCACCTATTGTAACATAGTCACTACACACAATACTATCACCTATTGTAACATAGGACTGTCACTACACACAATACTATCACCTATTGTAACATAGACGATCTGAGGGACTGTCACTACACACAATACTATCACCTATTGTAACATAGACGATCTGAGGGACTGTCACTACACACAATACTATCACCTATTGTAACATAGAAGATCTGAGGGACTGTCACTACACACAATACTATCACCTATTGTAACATAGACGATCTGAGGGACTGTCACTACACACAATACTATCACCTATTGTAACATAGAAGATCTGAGGGACTGTCACTACACACAATACTATCACCTATTGTAACATAGATAGATCTGAGGACTGTCACTACACACAATACTATCACCTATTGTAACATAGAAGATCTGAGGGACTGTCACTACACACAATACTATCACCTATTGTAACATAGAAGATCTGAGGGACTGTCACTACACACAATACTATCACCTATTGTAACATAGAAGATCTGAGGGACTGTCACTACACACAATACTATCACCTATTGTAACATAGATGATCTGAGGGACTGTCACTACACACAATACTATCACCTATTGTAACATAGAAGATCTGAGGGACTGTCACTACACACAATACTATCACCTATTGTAACATAGAAGATCTGAGGGACTGTCACTACACACAATACTATCACCTATTGTAACATAGACGATCTGAGGGACTGTCACTACACACAATACTATCACCTATTGTAACATAGAAGATCTGAGGGACTGTCACTACACACAATACTATCACCTATTGTAACATAGACAATCTGAGGGACTGTCACTACTCACAATACTATCACCTATTGTAACATAGACGATCTGAGGGACTGTCACTACACACAATACTATCACCTATTGTAACATAGAAGATCTGAGGGACTGTCACTACACACAATACTATCACCTATTGTAACATAGAAGATCTTGTACAACATAGACCGATCTGAGGGACTGTCACTACACACAATACTATCACCTATTGTAACATACACACAATACTATCACCTATTGTAAAGATCTGAGGGACTGTCACTACACACAATACTATCACCCCTCGTGTAACATAGACGATCTGAGGGACTGTCACTACACACAATACTATCACCTATTGTAACATATTGTAACATAGAGATCTGAGGGACTGTCACTACACACAATACTATCACCTATTGTAACATAGACGATCTGAGGGACTGTCACTACACACAATACTATCACCTATTGTAACATAGAAGATCTGAGGGACTGTCACTACACACAATACTATCACCTATTGTAACATAGACGATCTGAGGGACTGTCACTACACACAATACTATCACCTATTGTAACATAGACGATCTGAGGACTGTCACTACACACAATACTATCACCTATTGTAACATAGACGATACACTGTCACTACACACAATACTATCACCTATTGTAACATAGACGATCTGAGGGACTGTCACTACACACAATACTATCACCTATTGTAACATAGTAACATAAGATCTGAGGGACTGTCACTACACACAATACTATCACCTATTGTAACATAGAAGATCTGAGGGACTGTCACTACACACAATACTATCACCTATTGTAACATAGACGATCTGAGGACTGTCACTACACACAATACTATCACCCTTGGTGTAACATAGAAGATCTGAGGGACTGTCACTACACACAATACTATCACCTATTGTAACATAGACGATCTGAGGGACTGTCACTACACACAATACTATCACCTATTGTAACATAGACGATCTGAGGGACTGTCACTACACACACACAATACTATCACCTATTGTAACATAGACGATCTGAGGGACTGTCACTACACACAATACTATCACCTATTGTAACATAGACGATCTGAGGGACTGTCACTACACACAATACTATCACCTATTGTAACATAGACGATCTGAGGGACTGTCACTACACACAATACTATCACCTATTGTAACATAGACGATCTGAGGGACTGTCACTACACACAATACTATCACCTATTGTAACATAGAAGATCTGAGGGACTGTCACTACACACAATACTATCACCTATTGTAACATAGACGATCTGAGGGACTGTCACTACACACAATACTATCACCTATTGTAACATAGACGATCTGAGGGATCTGAGGGACTGTCACTACACACAATACTATCACCTATAGTAACATAGAAGATCTGAGGGACTGTCACTACACACAATACTATCACCTATTGTAACATAGACGATCTGAGGGACTGTCACTACACACAATACTATCACCTATTGTAACATAGACGATCTGAGGGACTGTCACTACACACAATACTATCACCCCTGGTGTAACATAGAAGATCTGAGGGACTGTCACTACACACAATACTATCACCTATTGTAACATAGACGATCTGAGGGACTGTCACTACACACAATACTATCACCCCTGGTGTAACATAGACGATCTGAGGGACTGTCACTACACACAATACTATCACCTATTGTAACATAGACGATCTGAGGGACTCTCACTACACACAATACTATCACCTATTGTAACATAGAAGATTTTGAGTACTGTCACTTCAGATAAATCCAGTGTCAACACATCGTACACCACAGATAAATCCAATGTCAACACATCATACACAACAGATAAAGCCAATGTCAACACATCACACACCACAGATAAAGCTGGTGTCAACACATCATCCACCACAGATAAAGCCAGTGTCAACACATCATACACCACAGATGAAGCCAGTGTCAACACATCATACACCACAGATAAAGCCGGTGTCAACACATCATACACCACAGATAAAGCTGGTGTCAACACATCATACACCACAGATGAAGCCAGTGTCAACACATCATACACCACAGATGAAGCCAGTGTCAACACATCATACACCACAGATAAAGCCGGTGTCAACACATCATACACCACAGATGAAGCCAGTGTCAACACATCATACACCACAGATGAAGCCAGTGTCAACACATCATACACCACAGATGAAGCCAGTGTCAACACATCATACACCATAGATAAAACCAGTGTCAATACGTTCCTTACTGCATAGTTTTATGATTCTGGTGTTATGTAATCATTGTAAATTGTGATGGTGTCAAATAGTACTGATTTTAATCAGAAAAGTCTCCTTGCTTTAAGTGAAGATGTTTTGTATAATATCACTTGTGTTTGTCAGTAGATAAAAGTGTGGTATGTTACTTACTACATTGAAATGTTGAATTGGCTGTTGATTTATCCTTGTAGTTTTATTAAAGGTAAATAATATGTTATTTTTTTACATTCAAGGTGGGTTCATGACTACCAGGATGCATGTGTGGACAAGGTTGAAAAGTTCCTTTCAGGGGAGATCACTCCGCTAGGTCCAAAGCTGACATCACCAGAAAAATCCTTTCAAAGTCCAAGGGAGAAGTCGTTTCTCAATCCTGCTGAAAAATCCTTTCAAAGTCCAAGGGAGAAGTCGTTTCTTAGTCCTGCTGAAAAATCCTTTCAAAGTCCAGGGGAGAAATTGCAAATTCCAAAGGAAGTGAAAAAAAATGATGATGAAGCAGAAAAATTACTTCAAATGAAAAACAATAACAACATGGCTGACGTGATTCCTTCATCACAAGACTGTTACAACTAATTACCCAGGCATAACAACAGATAGAACTCGTCCTTAATACCAACCCAACTGATTTGTTTCACTGAAAGGGATTCAATGATTTAATTCCTCAGGTTTCCATGATCTAAAACCTTTGTTTTTGAGTGATCATTGTTCAACAAAATACAAATTATTTCTGAAGTACATGTGATTTTTAGGGACAGAAACTGAACAATAGAAACAGTTACAAGTTTACTTACCTAGATATACCAGGGGGACTGATATTCTACAGATCACACAGGTATTACTGATCTATTCCAGGGACTGATATTCTACAGATCACACAGGTATTACTGATATATACCAGGGGGACTGATATTCTACAGATCACACAGGTATTACAGATATATACCAGGGGGACTGATATTCTACAGATCACACAGGTATTACAGATGTATACCAGGGGGACTGATATTCTACAGATCACACAGGTATTACAGATGTATACCAGGGGGACTGATATTCTACAGATCACACAGGTATTACAGATGTATACCAGGGGGACTGATATTCTACAGATCACACAGGTATTACAGATGTATACCAGGGGGACTGATATTCTACAGATCACACAGGTATTACAGATGTATACCAGGGGGACTGATATTCTACAGATCACACAGGTATTACAGATGTATACCAGGGGGACTGATATTCTACAGATCACACAGGTATTACAGATGTATACCAGGGGGACTGATATTCTACAGATCACACAGGTATTACAGATGTATACCAGGGGGACTGATATTCTACAGATCACACAGGTATTACAGATGTATACCAGGGGGACTGATATTCTACAGATCACACAGGTATTACAGATATATACCAGGGGGACTGATATTCTACAGATCACACAGGTATTACAGATATATACCAGGGGGACTGATATTCTACAGATCACACAGGTATTACAGATATATACCAGGGGGACTGATATATACCAGGGGGACCGATATTCTACATATGACACTGGTATTACTGTATGATAATTGATTTTCATGGAAGATTTGCCTTTCTTGAATTCATGAATACTTAAAATCCACAAATATTTATGTCTACACAATGATAATAGTAGAAATGTACGAGAGAATATTGTGTTCAAGATTCATTCACAAAGTCAAGTGCCATGCAAATGTTTTTTTAACATGAGTCCTAGGAAAATATTTGCTTTTAGGCAAAAAGAAACAAATTGAAAAAAAGAAATTTTTATTAGAAACAAAACTTAGATAAATAAAAGCTATCAAAATATCAGAAAGGACAGATGTATGCAAAAAAGGGATAAAATCACCATATACATAGGGTTCTAACCTATATAGTAATTTACTATATATAACTTAGTTTTTGTCTACATAGTTAATATGTTACAGAAAATCTATTTATACCTCGGTAGGAAAATCTATTCTCTCTAAATATGGTAATGAAAGGTATAGACGACATGTCATTCTGGTGGAGTGGTATTGTAAAATAGTGACAGAATACATCATTCTAGGTAGTTATACCAAAGTTGTTTAATATGATGACCTCCACGAGTATCTAGGCCCTCAAAATAAACCAAAATCACACTGGAGTCTCATCTTACTGCAACAGATCTCTCTTGTTTTTCAAATTCTAAGCATGAGCATCAATGATGCTGACAATCTCCCAAAAACTGTTGATATGAACCCGTATGGAATCAGTGAATTTTTAAGATTTTCTGAAGAAATTGATTGTGTAGTGTTGCACATTTCAGAATTAGCAATACTTCACAGAGTCCAACTTTTCATAAACCTGTAAGATTATTCTAACACTTTTTATCAGAGCTGACCAATGAATTCCTATTTAACCATGAGAAATGCAGCACTGAAAATTTAACTCACAAAATATGATTCTTAAATAAATTGATACCAATTTTTTTATCTGATTATGAAGGAATTTTCCCAATTTTGGTATACATAAGTGATATGTTTACATCCTCTCGTGAAAACTCTTGAATTCACCCTATGTCTGAGTCAGTTGTCCTGCAGCACTAATAGGCTTTGTTTATATCTATGTATGAACTATTTCATTGTAAATAGAAAACATGATAAATCTTTAATGATAAATGGCATTGTATGAAATATAATTATTTCTTATCATTAGTCTTGTGATTAAGCACTTCTTGCCCAAATTTATCTTGAATTGATTATGTTTTGATTATAATTGTTTTATATGTTGATGGTAGCAGATTGTAGACAGGAAAACCACACAGGACAAAGAGGACTTTTGTCTGATGTCTCATTATCATGAATGATATGCTTTGAATTTTGGCTTCTGTAACATCAATTCTTAATGAAGGTTTTTTTTTTAATCCTGTGTATTTGTTCCTCCTGTTTCACTAATTCAGAACAGTTTCTATAGTTCCTGTATGGCTTCTATAAATCAGAACAATTTCTTTAGTTCCTGTATGGTTACTCTAGTTCCTGTATCGTTACTCTAGTTCCTGTGTGGTTTCTTTAATTTTAAACAATTTCTCTAGTTCCTGTATGGTTACTCTAGTTCCTGTATGGTTACTCTAGTTCCTGTATGTGTTACTCTACTTCCTGTATGGTTTCTATAATTTAGAACAGTTTCTCTAGTTCCTGTGTGGTTTCTATAATTAAGAACAGTTTCTCTAGTTCCTGTGTGGTTTCTATAATTTAGAACAATTTCTCTAGTTCCTGTGTGGTTTCTATAATTTAGAACAGTTTCTCTAGTTCCTGTATGGTTACTCTAGTTCCTGTGTGGTTTCTATAATTCAGAACAGTTTCTCTTTAGTTCCTGTATTGTTACTCTAGTTCCTGTATGGTTATTCTAGTTCCTGTATGGTTACTCTAGTAACTGTATGGTTTCTATAAATCAGAACAGTTTCTCTGCTTCCTGTTTGGTTTCTATAGTTCAGAACAGTTTCTCTAGTTCCTGTATGGTTACTCTAGTTCTTGTGTGGTTTCTATAGTTCAGAACAGTTTCTCTGCTTCCTGTATGGTTACTCTAGTTCCTGTGTGGTTTCTATAAATCAGAACAGTTTCTCTAGTTCCTGTATGGTTACTCTAGTTCCTGTGTGGTTTCTATAAATCAGAACAGTTTCTCTAGTTCCTGTATGGTTACTCTAGTTCCTGTGTGGTTTCTATAAATCAGATCAGTTTCTCTAGTTCCTGTATGGTTACTCTAGTTCCTGTGTGGTTTCTATAAATCAGAACAGTTTCTCTAGTTCCTGTATGGTTACTCTAGTTCTTGTGTGGTTTCTATAGTTCAGAACAGTTTCTCTGCTTCCTGTATGGTTACTCTAGTTCCTGTGTGGTTTCTATAAATCAGATCAGTTTCTCTAGTTCCTGTATGGTTACTGTAGTTCCTGTGTGGTTTTTATAGTTCATTATTTGTTCTGTGGTTTATCCATGATTTCAATATTTATAGTAGCTGTAGCTGTCAAAAGCACACAAAAGCACACTTTTGTACAGCTCCTATCTGTAGTATTTTTGGGAAGTGCCTTTTTAGATCATTCATCTTGAATGATCATTAGTCATTGTGTTTTGTCCATCGCTGGATGTATGACGTGTATGAAGTGTGTATACTTTTCGCATATTAAACTTCTGGTGATGTTCCATAAGTGGAATTCAGCTCAAACTTGCATGTAATGGTCTTATTCTCCAGTTAAAATGGTTAAGTGAGATGATGGTTAACATACATGGGCCACATAATGATAAGGTTTAAGTGAGATGACGGTAAACGTACATGGGCCACATAATGATAAGGTTTAAGTGAGATGACGGTAAACGTACATGGGCCACATAATGATAAGGTTTAAGTGAGTTGAAGGTAAACGTACATGGGCCACATAATGATAAGGTTTAAGTGAGATGACGGTAAACGTACATGGGCCACATAATGATAAGGTTTAAGTGAGATGACGGTAAACGTACATGAGCATTATGATGATTAGGGTTCAGATGTTCTGTATTAGGCTACACCTGAGAGTGTGGCATTAGGGAAAAGGGGGGGAATGTTCAGACATTCAGTATTAGGCTACACCTGAGGGGGAATGTTCAGACATTCAGTATTAGGTTACACCTGAGGGGGGAATGTTCAGACATTCAGTATTAGGCTACACCTGAGGGGGGGATATGTTCAGACATTCAGTATTAGGCTACACCTGAGGGGAGGGATATGTTCAGACATTCAGTATTAGGCTACACCTGAGGGGGGGATATGTTCGGACATTCAGTACTAGGCTACACCTGAGGGGGGGATATGTTCAGACATTCAGTATTAGGCTACACCTGAGGGGGGGGATATGTTCGGACATTCAGTATTAGGCTGCACCTGAGGGGGGGATATGTTCGGACATTCAGTACTAGGCTACACCTGAGGGGGGGGATATGTTCAGACATTCAGTATTAGGCTACACCTGAGGGGGGGATATGTTCGGACATTCAGTACTAGGCTACACCTGAGGGGGGGAATATGTTCGGACATTCAGTACTAGGCTACACCTGAGGGGGGGATATGTTCGGACATTCAGTACTAGGCTACACCTGAGGGGGGGATATGTTCGGACATTCAGTACTAGGCTATGTTTGAAAGTGTGGCATTTAGGATTAGACTGCTTGCTTGGGATGTTGAATGAGGGCGAAAGCAACAGTGGAAAGTCCACCAGACATTTTGTTTCAGGCTGGACTCTGTCCAGTATGAACGGCATTAGGGGAGAGTTACCAAATGTTTTGTCATCAGGATGTGGATTAGGAGAAAGTTCCAATTATACACTTTTATGATTTTGACTTTAAATCAAGGACAAATCATTATCAACACTGAATGGTGCTAGCATTGTCCTGACACTGTCTACTATTGGTCTAGTCAAATGATAGCTCTCAATTCAAGCTAATTGTGACATGACTTATTTGAGGTTTTCTGTCGGAGGGGATTCTGCATTTGAAATTGTCAGCAGGAATATTATTTCCATGTTTGTTTAAGGTGGCATTTCTATCAACAATGAAAGCAATATAAATCAGGATATCTTTAAACTGAACTTAGTTAGTATTGATATGTACAGTGATAGACTTGGTTTTTTGTCTGAAACAATCAACAAAAAGTCAACGTGTTCAATATTTGAAATTAATACTTTTTAGCAATATTCATGGTGCAATATTTTTTCAATGATACAATTGTTCCTGTTGATTTTTTTCAATGATACAGTAGTTCCTGTTGATTTTTTTTCAATGATACAATTGTTCCTGTTGATTTTTTTTCAATGATACAGTAGTTCCTGTCGATTTTTTTTCAATGATACAGTAGTTCCTGTCGATTTTTTTTCAATGATACAGTAGTTCCTGTCGATTTTTTTTCAATGATACAGTAGTTCCTGTCGATTTTTTTCAATGATACAGTAGTTCCTGTTGATTTTTTCAATGATACAGTAGTTCCTGTTCATTTTTTTCAATGATACAGTAGTTCCTGTCGATTTTTTTTTCAATGATACAGTAGTTCCTGTTGATTTTTTTCAATGATACAGTAGTTCCCGTCGATTTTTTTTCAATGATACAGTAGTTCTTGTCGATTTTTTTTCAATGATACAGTAGTTCCTGTCGATTTTTTTTCAATGATACAGTAGTTCCTGTTGATTTTTTTTTTCAATGATACAGTAGTTCCTGTTGATTTTTTTCAATGATACAGTAGTTCCTGTTGATTTTTTTTTTCAATGATACAGTAGTTCCTGTTGATTTTTTTCAATGATACAGTAGTTCCTGTCGATTTTTTTTCAATGATACAGTAGTTCCTGTTGATTTTTTTCAATGATACAGTAGTTCCTGTCGATTTTTTTTCAATGATACAGTAGTTCCTGTTGATTTTTTTTCAATGATACAGTAGTTCCTGTCGATTTTTTTTCAATGATACAGTAGTTCTTGTCGATTTTTTTTTTCAATTATGCAGTTGTTCCTGTTGATTCTTGAAGCCCATACAATAGTGTTAATTTTAATATTACATTTCAAAGTCGGTCCATTTATACCAACTTTTGTGCCCCCTTTTAGGACAATAAACATCAAACAAAATCTGGCCCTGTTACTAAGAGGTTTAAGATGCAGAGTGACTGAACTATATTACATATTTCCTGTATTTTTCATATATTGAAGTGCTTGTCAAAATTGACTAATATTTCATGCGCTAACACATCTATAACAAAAGAACACAGTAGTGGTATCACAGCCGTACAAAACAAGAGTTGCTGAGATATTCTGCTTTTACCACAGAAATGAAAAATTTTGTGGCATTTCTTGATCAAATCATAATACCTGATTCCGTTTTTTTAACATTTGATTCTTTTGATATGTATAATTTTTGTCCATGCATGTTTAATGGGAGTTGATATGGGTTTATCGTGAACAACTGTTTTTATTTTAGACGAGTGTAGACAGTCCTGGTTGTTATACTATAGAAATAGTATTGGTTTGTAGTCATTTTTATACTAGAAAAAAAAATAAAATGTTTTTCTGTCGTTACCAGTCTTGTTTGTATTTTAAGGTCACCTGAGACAGTCTCATGGTGACCTATTCTGATCAACTTATCTGGCGTCAGGTCTCCGTAAACAATTTAACATTCTCAACTTCTTCTCAAAAAACCCTGGCCAATGATGAACCAAAATTTTGAATTATACGGTCCCCAACACCCAGGAGCCTGAGGGACGGGGCAAAAAGGGGTCAAGTTGACTTAATTTAAAAAAAAAAGAGCAGATATGGTAGAATCAAATACTCTTCAAGAATAAAATCATCTTAGGGAGCTTACCAAAATTATGAATTTCATAGCCCCAGGGTCACACATATCCCTGTGGGGAGGGGGTAAAGTTTACTGTAGTTTATATAGGCAAAATAGATTTTTGAGCATAATTTGTTTAATTTCCACTGGAAATATTTCAAACTTAGTAAGAATTATAAGTTAAGGGTGACGGCCTGGTGTATGCCCATTTTGATCCTGGCTGACCCCCAGGGGCTGTTGAGTGGGACCAAAAATGAGTCAAATTGACTGCATTCTCAAATCCCAGGTATGGTAGAATCAAGTACTCTCCATGGATGGATTTTTTTTACATAGGAAAATTACATTTTGAGTATAATTTGTTTATTTTCTTTCTGAAATAGTTCAAACTTGGTTAGAATTTATCTTTTCTTAGTATAAGCTGACTATTTGAGGAGATGCACATATTAACCTTGACTGACCCCAGCGGCTGATGGGCAGGGCCAAAAGTGGGTCAAATTGACTGAAATTTCATAGATGTTCTGCTGTTCCTGGTTGGAAGATTTTACATGGGAAAATTCAAATCTTCAGTGTTATTTATTTGAATTCAAGCTCGGTTAGAAGCCTAAGTATAAGATAGTTACTGTATACACAATTTACTTTTGTATTATGTATACAATATATAGCAAAAGTTATTTTGTTTATTTCACAAAATCATTTCAATGACATGTTACAAAAAGCAATGTTTTTCAGGTGACTGTTAAGACCCTTTGGCCTCTTGTTGATTTTAATTCTCGATATTTGTTCAGAGTGAGAACTGCAGCCAAGCTTAATATCTCGATATTCGTTTAGAGTGAGAACTGCAGCCAAACTTAATATCTCGATATTTGTTTAGAGTGAGAACTGCAGCCGAACTTAATATCTCGATATTTGTTTAGAGTGAGAACAGCAGCCAAATTTAATATCTCGATATTTGTTTAGAGAGAGAACTGCAGCTA